GAAAGGGAGGGGGCAGTGGATTAGCAAGGATGGTGGAATGTGATGGATGTCATTATACAAAGTACATGTATGAAGACCTGAATTGGGTCAGTCAACATACTTTATATACAAAGATACAAAAATTGTGGTATATATGTGTATTAAGAATTGTAATGCAAAAAAACATGTACGTGTATAAAGGCTTAAATTGGTATGAACATACTTTATATACAGAGCTATGAAAAATTGTGCCCTATATGTGTAATAAGAATTGTAAAGTATCACTGCTGTCGTGTAGTTAAAAAATAAAAAAATTAAGAAAGAAAACACAATGTTCAAGTATAAGAAAAAATTTATTTAAATATTTCTCTCAAGAGCCTCTGTATCGAGACTATCTTATAACTTTTAAATCTATTATATTCTAAGTTCCTTTAATAGATTATAATGGCATAAAGGAAAAGGGTTGGATCTTGGCAGGGAAATATCAGGAAAGAAGTTTTAATTCAATGTTGATTAAACTCTGGAAACACCCATTTTACTGACATAGTCTTTATATTTTAATAGTGATTATTCCTTATTTCTGTAATTGAGTATGCTAAGCTCAGTTTTACCTGGGTTAAGTGAAATTCTTGAAAGAAGACAATATTACATTTTGGGGAAATGTCTATTGTCTATTGGTATGACATATTTGAAAAGCTTATCATGTTTTTTCTTCTTTTATGTCAATGTAGAACATGTATCTGTGAAATAGATTTTGGGCCCAAAACCCTTGGGATCATTAATTTATCTGTATTTTTCTTTTCTATATTTTTCTACTTAAATTTTACTTATTTAATCAGATGTGTTATTTTGATCTAAGTATTAAATTTGATTAATATTTAATTCATAAACGCAATTTCCATGTCTCCTATCTCTCTTCCTATCTACTTTTACTTTGACAGAAATGTTTAGTATGGAATTACTTAAAATATTCTTATGTGTTTTGTGAATATTTCTTAAAGCAGAAAGRTGATATTGTTGCATTAAAAACAAAAACTTATGTCTAGTAATTTCTTTCTGTGGCAACTGAATAAGTGAAAGATGTATGGTAACTGCAACTGTAATGGAGTATATTTGGAAAGAAAACTCAATTTTCTACGCTCCTTCTAAAAAAAAATGTCTGTTGGCAAACAAACCTAAAATAAAGGTTCAAAAAAGAGATATTTAATGTCTGGAAAATATGTTAGTTCTGTTAGCATTTGGAATGATGGATATCTGTGAAATAAASTATGATCAATTACATTGCTATCTTTTCTTTTTCACAGTGTATGCCAATTAAAGGCCTAGGATTTGTACTTGGAGCCTATCAGTGCATTTGCAAAGCAGGATTCTATCATCCTCGAGTCTTCTCAGTGAACAACTTTCAGAGTAAGTACCCCTTGTTTTTGTGCATATATAAGTACATGAATAACATATACCATGGTTATTCAGATTTATTTTTAACCTTGTGGGAGTTATATGTTAGTTCCCCAAATGATTTGGCTTTCTCTCATCACTTAAAGAGTTTGACCTTTGGCTTATCATTTGTTTTGGAGTACCATAAATGTAGGTGCTTATTTCAGTTTTCAAAACATTTTAAAAGCCTGAAAATAATGTATCTATTGGTAAAATCAATTGGGATTTAGTTATATGAAGTGTTATTACAGAGATTACCTAAAATCAATTTTGCCAGTTTATTTATTTATCCGTTTGCTCATGTGTTAATTTTCTATACCTCATGAAAAATTACCACATGGTAAGTAGCTTAAAGCAACATGARTTGTTTGTATCCCACAGTTTTCATGTTTCAGGTTCCTAGTCATGGGTTAGCTAGATCTTCTGTTCAGGCTTACCAGGCCAAAATGAAGGTGTCACCTGGGAAAGGAACTCTTCTGAGTATCTTTCAGATTGTTGGAAGAATTAAGTTCCTTGCAACTGTAGGCCTGAGGTCTGAGGTCCCAATTTTCAGATTAAATATTTGCTTGGGGTATGTCTTAGCCCCTGAAAGTTGAATTAAGGCCTAGCCATCTGAACTTCTCATAATGTAGCTGCTTACTTCTTCAAAGCTACCAGAAGAACTCTCACCTTCCCTGCAAAGAGCAAACTATAATCATAGGAATCCTTGCCCTATCACTTTGCCATATAATGTTACCTAACCAAAGGAGAAAATGTTCCATCACATTTATAGGCCATTCACATTCCTAGTGCGAGGATAAAAAACTGAAGAATCAAAGCATGGTCATCTGGTTACTTTATTACTAATCCAGAAGACATCAGTGTTATAATTTAAATATTGAATTTTATTCTTTCGATAGAAAATGGAATGTTGTTGTACTAGCATGTAGCCAGATATTAGATATAATAACTAACAAAGAGGAGTTTAGTGGTAAAAAGGGACTGGTTTCATGGGAAGTTATGTTTTGGGGTTGCTAAAACTGGGACATATCTCTTATACAGTTATCCATTAATTTTTTCCAGCCCTATTATTAGTATACATAGGAACATGCATCTCTACTAGGCATAATTCAAAGGGTACACTGAGTCTAAGCCCTGAGTGTCTTCCTCTGGGAATTTTAGTAAATGCATATAGGATTATTAATAGATTGATTTCTCTCTCTTAGAAAACACTATTCTTGGTCTTTAAACTATTTACATTAACTTCTAGATTGTGGAGGTAAAGAATATTATTATCTCTCCCTCAATTGCGATGTTTTAGATTTTGGTCTGAGTAGTGGCTGTAGGCAGAACTTTAAGATGGCTTCACAATTTCTGTTTCCACATGCAATACATAATCCCCTCTCTTTAAGTGTGGGTGGGACCTGTGAGTACAATGGAATAAGCACTTCCTTGYTGAAGGTTGTGTTATAGAGCAGAAGCCATGGTACAGTAGCTTTTATGATTGATTACACTGTGTCATATAAGAGTCAATTGTTTCATGAGGGAGGTGGAGAGAGAGGAAGAATTGGAGGGAGGAAGGAGAGAAGGAAAAAAAGGTTTTTTTTTCTATTAGCTTTGAAGAAGTATGCTTTCTTACTGTGAGAGGACTGTGTGGCTGGGGACTTGAGGGTAGCAAAACTCAATGATGGTCAGCAAGGAAAGAAGAACCTCAGTTCCACAATCACAAGAAATTAAATTGTTTTAATTACCTGAATGTACTTGGAAGAAGACCCTGAGCTCCCCTTGAGAATGCAGCCTAACCAAAATCTTGAGTCTAGCTTGGTGAGACTCTCAGCTGAGAATCCAGTTACATTATGCCCAGAGTTATAGAAACAAGGGACTAGGAAATAACAAATAGACATTTTAATCTCCTAAATTTCTGGGAATTTATTATGAAGCCATAGGAACCATACAAATGGCATGATTATGTGTTTTCTGAATGGTTGTTTTCTGTGTATATAGACCAAACCATGCCAATATCAGATTTAGTTTGACATTCTTCACATTTATGGTCAAGATATAACATGATTCAACACTGAAGGAGTAAGGGAATAGGTTTTTAGCTTATGTTCTGTGAAGGTATTTTGTGTTTGGTTTACCCACATTTGTTCTCAGCTCCCACTATGTGACTGAAATAAAACATCTAAATATTGTAGAACTAGAGAATGACTATATCATTTGCTTATAACACTGCCAGGAGAAACTGGTTAACCTTTAACAACTTATCTTTATTTAATTTGCACACTCCTACTTTTTTCCTTATTTTAAAAGTCAGTTTTGTTTTTTTTAAAAACTGGACATATTCTCTAAGAATAAAGGCTGATTTTTTTGCTTAAGTGTAACTCTCAAGTTGTACATATTGCAGCCATGAGAAACAGGCTAGTTTTCAGAAGATGAGGGTAGTTTTGATTTAGCTTTGACCTCAGTKCTTGCTTAACCACGACTGACCTTACTCAGTGACAGAGTAGGAAGCTAGCTATTGTTATCATTTGAAGCCAGCAAATGCTCTTTGACTAAATATATCTTTCCTGATGGCTTGTCAGTTTGCATCAAAATCCAACATTAATCATTCCTTGTCCTAAAGAAAGAATACAGGAAGGTGAGCTTAAAATCACTAGGATCATCAACCAAGAGCATGCAAATGTTCTTTTTTATGTTTGTAATTTATTCTTACACTTTATTACATGTTTCTGTATTTAAGTCTTTTAGTTAATTATAGTATCCAGGCAAATTTTATGGGCAGTTACTTTCACACTTTCTTGAGGAGAAAATTATGAAGAATGACCACATATAGCCCTGGAGCCAAAGGTAAAGAAGGCATTGGAGACCCAAATATAAGATAGCATGTGGAAAACTGCTAGCACAGTTCATGGCATATAATTAGTATTCAATAGATGATGTTAAATAAATGAATATTTAACAATAATCTATAAACATATAAACAAATGCATGTAACCAAACATTAATGATACATGTGAAGATAATGTTAAGCCCTATTGGTCATTGGTACTGTATCTCAAATATTGAGAAGGGCAAGAGGAAGAAAGAAAGTTTGGGAATTAAGAGGCAACAGGAGGAAATTAGTCACAGAAAACAGACTATATGGGATTAAATTTACTCAATTTATAGTTGCAAATCTAGAAAAAGACACCAATGTCTCATATCTTTAATAATTTGTATCCCCTTTGTAAGGAGGAACTAAGTCTGTAAGAGAATATGTAAATGTGCCTTTTAAAAATCTTCTTAAAATGTGAAACAATTTAAAAAATATTTATTTTAGATCTTGGCTCACAGTAAACAAAGGGCTTATAAAGACCAACAGGGATATGTTCAAATGACATGATGTGAAATTGTGCTGAGAGCCCAGAGACCCTGTTCCTGACATCTCTCTTGACATTGGTAGTCATATGTGAGTTAATAGAATCTGACACTTGGAAAGTAGCAGGATTTCAAAATAACCAAGTACTGATATACAGCTGTCTCTTCAAATCCAGGTTGTCCACTTTCACGTTGATAAAATACAAGCTTGTGACAATCTCATCTTCTCCAAATTCATCTATCCTAATATGATTTCTGTATTCAGTGAAACTGTTTTTCTCTTCTCTGTGGACATATTACCAATCGTTTGATCTTATTTCTTTTGTCTTTTGGGTTGACTTCAGCTTGTATATATTTTCAGGTAAATTCCAACTTACAAAGGACCCATAGCTAAAAATGACAATCCTTACTTCACCAACTCCATTTCCATTGCTACAAAAGTCATATGGTAGAAGAAAATCTAAAGAGATTTTAAAAATATTATATATACATCTAAAGGCAAAATCTAAAGAKATTTTAAAAACATTTCATTTTTWATTTTTAATTTCTTCTAAATAGTTTACATGACAATAGAATACATTTTGACACATTATGTATAAAAGGAATATAACTTCTTCTGATTGTATATGATGTAGAATTATACGGGTTGTGTAGTCATATATGCACATAGGGTATTAATGTCTGATTGATTTTACTACCCTTCCTACCCCCAGACTCCTCCCTTCCCTTCACTCCCCTCTGTCTCATCCAAAGTACTTCTATT